CGAGTTAGATGCCGAAAAACGTACAATGTAGAGAAAAACAAAAGCAATAGGTTGAATGCCTAAAGGCATTCACCCAATAAAGAGAAACACGAAAACAATAGTGTGAATGCCTAATGGCATTCACACAATTAGAAAAGGTGACTGGAAATCAATCTGAGAAAGAGTTAAATTTAAGAGTTTTCAGTTAAGACAAACTCAAATTTTGATGAAAACTTGTAACTGTGACCCTTTGGGAAATATAAAAAACGATGATGGCAGGAAGTACACGATTTCTCTACAGGGGTACCCACATAACAAAATCTGTCACACAGTGCACCAACACTAACACTGTGAGCAGACACAGCAAAGAATGATGGCCCTTTAGTGGCCCAGAGGTGGTCCATGCATGGGCCAGAACCACATAAACCAAACTGGTCCAGTTGTGGCATTCCATCTTTGAAGAAACGCCATCATTGCCAGACCTGGCCCACATCTGGCTGACAAATCACTCGTCTCGCCAGCAGTCAGCCAGCAGTGACACCAGATCAGGCTCACACCTGTCTACGTGGGTACTGTAACAACGCAACAGTTACAGTGTTTTTAGTTGTTTTTTGTTTCTCACAGCAGTAAGATGTGACATCAAGTACCTAAGATCAATTAAATAACTTAATCTTTAAACTGTATAGAAAAAAATTCTATGCAGACAAAAATACCTCAAAATGTGCAGCCTCCATACAAAAAGGCCTAAAAAACAAGAGAAACAAAGTGAAAGCATATTACTGCCCATATGTATATATTTATAGAAATCACTGTCCTGTCTCATGTGTTGTTGTCACATAATTACACGGTGACAACACGTCTTGCTTCACCCTGAAGGTGTCTGTTATCATGGCAGAAAATGTTGTTTGTTTACTGCTCATTTATCAGCACTCAGGTGATGCTGGTTGAACATGTCGAGCAAAAAAAAAGATGAGCAAATAAAACAGGACCTCTGTGCACCCACACATATAACCCTCACCTCTAAAATATATCACAGAAATATTAAAATCTTTTATTTGGCTGTCTCTAATTCATACATGTTTCAGATCCGTCAACTCCTGTAGTAAAAAACATCCATTCTCCATATTTCCGGTAGTTTTTCACCATCTCACCTTTCATCATTTCTACAGAGTCCAGATCAGCTCCTATACTCCACTCCATTTTCCAAACCATTTCAGCTTCAACGTGACTCAGAACAAAAACATAAAACATTTTTCCACTTGAGAGCACTATGCAATATCCTAAGAGGAACATTAATTCTCATTTAATGGCATGAGATGGCAAGTGGAGGTAATCACTAAAAGGATGTTTGCAGTCCATTCCTGTATTAGCAATTTATAAAGTAAGCATGTCAAACTGATGCGGTTGAAATTAAAAAAAAAAGTCAGTCAGTCATGTGGTAGTGACATGTCACTACAACAAGACCAAGTAGGTGTTAGCAAAAATTAAGAAAGATCTTGTTAAAAACGACATCATTGTTTAAAAAAATTAACGTTCACATTCACACTTTGCGTTCACTCACATAGATTTTAGTAACAAAAACGATTTTTTTAAAACTTTCTAAAATAATAGATTTTTTTAAAAGCTTTGGTAAATATATATATCTATTTTTACCCATGCCAAGCAACACAAAGTGTTGCTTGGCATGGGTAAAAATAGATATATATTTACCAATGCCAAGCAACACTTTGTGTCCCAGAAACTAAAACAACAATGGAGAAGTTTTTGTCTGCATCTATTTGATAGATGTTCTTAATTGTCAAAGTAAAAAACTAAAACGTATAACATTATAACAGTGACTGAACACTTCCTTCAAACCTTTAACCAATTGCAAAAGCATTTTAAAGACAATTCTTGTGTGAGCTTTCATCACTTACATACATCCAGACGTGCGATAACATCAGCCACCTTTCTCAGTTTCCAACTAATCTAACTCAATGAGGCAAAACGTCACAAGTTAAAATAATATCCAATGGTTGCCTTTAAGCTAACCAAAATTTGTGCAAAAATACAGTTTGTATTGTATTAATGTATTGCATTTAAATCAGAAACTTGCTGCAGTTTACTGGCTGTTTCCAGACACTTTCCTGAAGATAATAAAAGTTCTTTCCAGGAACATTTCAACTTTTCAAAAACTGATATTTGACTAAACTCGCCAAACTTACCCATTCTCTTCGTTAGCGACAGCAGAGTAAAGTATCTCCATTCGGGTTCATCGTTAGAGCTCGTGGTTCTCGTCTTTGGCCCTCTGCTCACTTTCATTCACAGGTTTCTATTTAGCCCTGTCTTCTCATTTAGAGCCCCAGCTGGTGCAACCACCACCAAACCCTACTGGAGTGAGACTGCTCCGAGTCTGAGCGCAACTGGCCTTATAGGTTTTACTTAAGGAGGAAAAAGTCCACATCCCACTGTCAGTCAAACAGTCGAGCATAGTTTTGGCCGGGCCGCCATCCAAACAGACATGAAACTATTCTATTTCGGTCTGCCATATGAGCAGCGGTGAAGTCGAGAGGAGGGGGTATGATTCTGTGGCGGAGCATGTAATTGCAGAGTGACCTGTTATGGTGAGATGTAATTGCAGATCTCATCAGATGGAGAGAAACTGCCAACAAGACAAGGTAAAGGACTTTTAAATAATGCTTCGGGGGAAAAAAAAGTAAAAACGAAACAAAACCGTCCGCATAAATACACGAGAAGCTGGCTTCCAGATGTGGCAGGAACGAAGGGAAGGGGAGGAGAAGAAGGAGAGGGACAGGCATGAAAAGAAAGCCAGATGAAGAAAGTGCCATGGCAGCAGAAAGACGTCCCACTTCTGACATGGTGAGAGGGTGTTTACCTTCAGTCCCAGAGATGGAAAGGGGGACCGGGGAAGGTGAGAGGATGTCGGGGGCCTGGCCTAGTGTTGTTTCTGGACCTTTACCCTGAGTTCCCCTGGGTGTCTGGTTTCAAGTTAGCCTTGAAAATGTCTACCTTATGGAAAAACGGGGAGCTTTAAAAATGAAGGAAGGAAAATAAAAGTATAAATGTCAGTCAGCTGGTTTCCATTACTGCGAAGATCCAGCTGGTTTGGACTGTTGCAGCTCACATTGTTTGAATCTTGAGTGAATAATTATTATGTGATTATGTGAAGCGCACAGCTTCAGACACTCCCTCCCTGATGTACTGTATAAAAGACCCCTTTGCACTGTATGAAGGCAATAAATATTAGTTTAAGCTTAAAATCTCAATGTAAACAGCTAATTTCCTGGTTAATTTTCCCTCATTTTGCAGCAAAAGCAGGAAGTTCCTTCATAAGCAAACTAAAAGATGGATATTTGTCTATAAAATCAGCTAGACTCAACTGATAAAACTAGAATTTCTGTAGAAATAAAAGTTTTAGAGGAACAAATAACATTTCTGACCTTTTGCGGCCTTGAGTACTGGATTTCAGTGTTGGGCACAGTTCCCCTAAAGCACTAAAGCACTAATAGGGGAACTAATTTCCTGATTAATGCTTTAGGGCTTTTGCTCATTTTAAAATTTATTAGTGGATTAGCACTTTCTGTATTTAGAAGCATTAACTGAGGTCTATAAATGTTATTGATAAACTTTAATGTTAACAGCTGACAGTGAAAGCTTCACACATTGTGTTCATGTGTGTGTCACTTATCCACCAGGTGACAACATATGAACCCAAATACGGCTGTGGAATGTCAATGATAAGCATTGAGAGAGCAACATGACAATGTGTGACTCATGTTGTCTGTTGAAGAATGTTCATGAGTTGACTGGGTTATTTTAGTGCTTTAGAATTAGCTTTTGCTAAAAATTTCAGTGCATTAGTGCTTTAGAATTAGGGGACCTAAATATTTGCGTTAGTGTTTTAGGGCTAGTGGAACTAAACTTTAGATTAGTGCTTCCCACCACTGCTGGTTTTATTATTTGATTACATAGTTTAAATGCTGAGTAAGTAACTGGTGTTGTTTCAGCAAAAATAAGAAATTGTAATGTAATTGTAAAAAAACCAATCTGTTGCATAATTGGGAAAGCTCAACGGTTGCGTTTAATACTTTTCAAATCTGTGCAAATGAAAAGAAGGATATGAAAAGCACTTTTTTTTTACTTATCCACCTGGGCCCCTATTTATCAAACTTCAAAAAATTAGTTTGACAAAAAAAAATCCCTTCACCTAATGTGAAAAGTGCTCCAAAGTGCTGGAAATTTCTTAGATTTGCTCCTACGCAGTACCAGTTATCAAAATCCTTAAGTCTAATCTCTATTACTCTCCCAGATATTTAAGACTGCTCCAGAGGACTCTTAAGGAGTTGAGTCGCCACTAGGGCTCTGAGATGGACTGAGATGACAGAGGTCACACAGAGGACACAGCTGTCCTCCTCCCCACCTGAGTGTTAATCTCAGTTATAATGTTGAAGGGAACTAAAGTGTGAAAAACAGGTTTAATCATCAATACAAAAGAAAGAAGTGTAAAAATATATATATTACCAGTGTGCATAATGTTTGAATAAAAGGCAGATATTTCTGTGTGGCTTTTGGGGAAAATAATAAATTATTTATA